CAGACTGAACCGCATGCGTCGATTTCGTCGTGTCAGATGTCTTTCGGTTCGGGTCCTTTGATCATTTATTTTTTGTGTCCTACAAAAAACTTACAATTTTTGTTTTCAGGATTTACCCTATGTAGAAAACCTTCCTCATCAGCTGGATGCTGGCCGAGCTATTGTTGTTGAGGGTGTGGTTCTGCCTGATGCCCTTGGGTAAGTTGCATTCAAATCTTAAGTTCTGTAAAAAAAAAAATTGTCATAGTAAGATGAAGATGCAACTCAAAATTTACCCTGAAATTCATTCTTATTTATTCTTTTAGGTTTGCCATCAATTTAGCATGTGGAGCCGGAAACACACCCGATTTAGCCTTTCATCTAAATCCTCGACTGGACAGGAATTTTGTTGCAAGAAACAGCCGTGTAAAAGGCAGCTGGGGAGAAGAGGAAAATGCAGCCCTAGGGGGTAGTCCTCTGAAGCGTGGCCAACCATTTCAAATAATTATTTTGGTGACAGCCACTGGTTTCAAGGTAATATAAATAAAAATTTGACTGTCAATCATCTTCAAATTAATCAGGTGAAACTATGTATGTAAAAGTTAAGGTGCCCCAAAACTTATTATTATATATATTTTTTTAAATAGGTGTCTGTCAATGAAATGCATTTCTGCAACTTCCAATTTAGAATGCCTCTCTCTAAAGTTTGTCGTCTGGAGGTTCATGGGGATATCATACTATCTACCATTAAACACACAAGACTGGAAGTGTACCCTGACCGCTCCCTCAGTGCATTACCTGAACATACATTTACCACAATACCAACCGATCATGCAGTACCATGGAATTCAGAAATAATGGAAAAGGTAAGTAGTCTGCTTCTATTTTAATAAGGTAGCAGCATGACTGATACTATTAAGCACAGTGCAAAATCTTTATCTTGTAGAATATTTTCATCTAATTTATTTCACTATTGCAGGAAAATTTATTTATTGGTCGCTTTAAACCTAATCTCTCCTCTGGTATGGAAATCACAATACGGGGGAAAATGAAATTACTCCCTCAATCGTAAGTATCTACTCCGCTTTTTTAATCTTTCTGTCTGTAAGTTTGTCTTCCTATTATTGTAACAAATTATTTTTTGCCTGTCAAGGTTTTATATCAACCTACAACAAGGATGCCAATTATGGCCTCATCCTAATGTGCATTTCCATCTTAATCCAAGATTTGTTTCTGAGGACTCAGAACATGTTGTTATAGTCAACGGATGGATGCGAGGTTCATGGGGCAGTGAGCAAAGATATACCAGGTATGAGATACATGTAACAAATGTAGACATGCGTTTTCCAACTTTCAAATGATAAATTATTCCTTGTTTCTTCACAGATGTCGGTTTAGGCCTGGTGAAGAGTTTACCATTGTTATTTATGTTGAGGAGCAGAGATATCGTGTTATGGTAAATGGTCTCCAGCAGGCAGCCATGTTCCACAGGGCTCCTGCATCTCTAGTTGATACATTGGTAGTAAGAGGAGATGTCTATATATATAATGTAGGCATATCTAAATCTAGCCCTGCCGTTAAGCTATTACCATCTCCAGGCAGTCCCCCAGAGAGCTTAAGTGGAAGTTTTGTCCTCATTCCGGAAAAAGAAGTGGCACCGCCAGTCCTCAGTCCCAGTAGCATATCGTCAGAGTCAGCATTTGACAGCCAGTTGTCAGGTCCATCAGATTATGACAGTAAAATCTCCTCAAACATTAGTTCATCAACAGTGCTATGTGATGAGCATGAAAAAATAGTAAAAACTCCTACTGAAAGTGTGACTTCGTGCAAAGAAGAGTTATGTTCAGCTAGTAACAAAACAGAAAGCACTAGTGAAAAAAATAGTGACAGCTCTACAGAGATTCTTGAAACACGCAAAGATGAAAAAATAGTGACCTTTGACGAATCACCAGCATCAGGTAGTAGCTCATCAGATGCTTCAAAAATTGTGGTAAGGTCAAAGAAAAGCAAAGGGAAAAAAACCTAAAATTTTATGAAACAAAGTTTCGTTTTGTTTCAGACACAACTAATCCACTTCCAAAAGCAGCTTTGTCATTCTTAGTAATGGCCGTTTTGTATGGTGGGTATGTGTTAAGAAAATAAATTACAATTTGCATAAATTTGACTTCATAGAGCCTAAAGAGGTCAGAGGGAAAAGTTTGTCTACTTTACTGTGTGAAATATTACTAATTTTTGTTTACCTACAAACGTCTAACAAGATGAAGCTTGCTTATTTGGAAGTGGACGTACTGCAAACCTACTTTTTGTGATAATGAGCTTATAGTCATGAGTGATATTATTAATCCTGCTTTTATGAGTATCGATTTTAGTTTTTAAGAAATATAAGTCTTGTCTTGATTGAAGTTTAGAAAGACAAACTTCTGAACCATTCTGTTTTTATAGATGATTTCACTTTATTTTTAGAAATGTTGGATAGCTTAAATTTCTATCAATTCTAACTAATTTCAAACCCATTTTGATGAAATTATTGCCATGATAGTATTTTACAGTCCGGAATTGAAATCAGTACATGTTAGTTAGATTTTTGATTGAACGTTAACAGGTCCAGCACTTTTCTTCTTTTTTTTTTTGCACATTAAACCAAGACTGCATAGAGCCTAGACTAAAGATCCCTCCACTATTCTGCTTGTCTTAAATGTGTTTTTTTCTTCCTGCTTGTTTGCTTATTATTTTCAATTTTATAGTAATGCTTAATTATTTTAATGTAACACTTCATGATTCATGGTTGATTGTACTAT